AAACATTCTTCGAAACATTTGGGATAATGTAAGTACACAAGTCAGCAAAATATATAACACTGTTCTAGTGTTTTTTGGATATTTTAACAAAAAAATCTTACATATTGTGCCTTTAACTATGATACCTGTACTATACAACCACTAGGGGGCAAACGTGAGCCCAGTGCCAATGCATCAGCCCTAATTCAAGTAACAATATGTTTTACATTTATGTTTTTTGGCAAATGTGTATCAAGGATTAGATGGAAATCTATTTATACAGTGTTTATGGCATTTTGGGTTGTAAGATCCATCAGCAGTATGTGGTAGACTTAGTAATAACATCTGTAATTTAAACTCAACATTGGAAAAACCTAAACAAGTCATGGTGAATTTAGCCTGCAACAAAACAAGACTGGGACAACAAACAACTCTTATGTGCTGCCATTATTCTAAAAACATCGAAAATGAGAGGACCTAAGCTTCCAGGAAAATCTTCCTAAACTTTCAAGCTGAACAGATAATGTTGACAGAAAAAAAATGCACTGCCCCAAAGCAGCCCTCAGTTATTTGGGCACTTCTCCAGATGTAATGTACAAATGTTCGGTTTGGGCTTGGCACAAAAAAGAAATGCGGTCTGATATTGAGGCTTGAGCCAGAAGCACTTTGGACAAAGCGTTCGTTGTAATCTCACAGTGCTTATGTCAACGCCAACAAAGAAAATCCACCAAAAAAAGGCACAGCCTTGAGTGTAAAAGGCAAGCTCTCAAGACAAGCTTAACTCAAGCACTCAAGACAAGCATGGAGATGTTTTCCTTTACTATATTTCCCTTGATAGCTTGTTTCTATTCGCATTCTGTATACATAAAAATATGCATGAGTAATGTAGCCTGATGTTTAAAAGTCTTGACTGGTTATTGCCCAAGGAATGATTAATGTATCATTACTATTGTACCTTTGAATAAGTAAACTGACTCTGAGAACTCTGAAAGAGGTATTTTAAAGTTGATCTTACCAGCTACACGGTGAGCTACAAGACCATCCAATTTGTAGTTGGCATCTTTCGGTTCAGACTCTTTAGGCAGAGGGGATGAGGAGGCAGAATAGCTACGCTGGCTCTCCTGGGGCTCAGGGGACTGGGACGTGGTACTTGAGGGGTAAATGTTGAGGGGTTTCAAATGGAGAACTCCAAAGGCGGAGGAAGGCACTGTGGACTGGGACATTGGAGCCTGACCTTCTGCCTTAGAAAGGAATGCAGCATTCTGGGATATGGCTGTGGGTCTCTGCTGGTTCATGGTGGGTTGTGGAGGCTCTGTGGCTACCTGTTGAAAGGTCGAAGGGTATCCCCCCGAAGAGACTCCACCACGGCCATGAATGGCTGCGTCAGCTTGGTAGGACGGCCGTGCTTGGGTTTGAGAGAAAGATGGTTGGGTGGTGACCACTCCATCTTCTCCAGATGGGGCACTATGGGACTTGGGGACTTGAGTAAGTGCTGGGTCAAGGTCCTGCATCAGCATGTTGAGTGCTTCAATGGACTGTTCAATGTCTTGCTCAGATGCCATGTGAGGAAACTCCGGAAGGCTGTGGGATTGCAATACAGGGTTGAAGGTGACCCCATCTGTGACAGGGACCTCAGGAACACCATATTGTTGCCACACATTCAGTCCCCTCTGCACTGCATCCTTACTGCTGGTTGTGCGTGTGGGAGCTTTGGGCATGTAATTCTGCTCTGTGGTCGGGGTTGCCCCTAATGATTGAGATCGGTAGATGTTGCCATTCTGGTTGGCATAGTCACTAGAGGACCCTAAGTGCTCTTGGACAGATGAGGAGCTGTGGACTTTGGGCTCTGGTATTTTCTCATGGACGCCCTTCTCCAAGTCATGCTGTGCATCTTGTCCATTGATGACCGTCTCTGACTGGTAGTATAGATCTGCTGGAGTGGCTCTGCCCTCAAAAGATGAGATGGTTCTGAGACTGTCCACACTGTTCCCTTCCTGGCTGTTGGGCAGGTCATCATCAAGGATATCTGTCTCACGATCTATGTTGTTGTGTCCATTGACATGAACCTGGGCGGGGACGAGGTGTAGGACTCCACCGCCTGCGCTGCCAGAGCTGTTTTGGTAACCTGTGCGATGCATTGGTGCTTCCAAACCACTGAGCAACTGGTCCAGCTCCTGTTTTTCCTCTGGGCTAAGGGGCTGGGAGGATGGCTGACTCACTAAGGCCAGCTGATGGCTGGCTTCATCCGTGCGGTCGGTTTTGATGGAAGCAGTGGAATTGCCCGAGTCACTGCTTACAGACAAGGCGTGGTCAACTGGTGGTAGAGTGTGGTCTACAGCAGGTAAAGTGTGATCGACAGTGGCTGGGACACCATTGGTTGTGACCCCTCCCTCGAGAGACTCTTTCTTCCGAACCTTAGCGTAGAGACTACCATCCAATGGACCTTGTGTGTGAATAACGTCTGTAGAAGTCAAAAAGAAAAATGGAATGTGTTAATACATTTAGCTATTTCATATATACACATAAAAGCAATAAGCAACTTCACGTTGTGACTAAGAATACCAAGTTATAAACTTAATTTTGTCATTTATGTGTCACATCACTCAATTATATTATTAGGTCCTACCAACTACCAAACTACTAGCTAGCAACAGCATGCATTAACATGCTGAATAGTGAATACTCATTGAGCACATTATTCATGTATCCATCCAAGCAAAAGCTACAAAATCTATTCTAAATCCCAACATAGCTGGACATTAAACACTATTATAGTTTAAAACTCATTCAGAAAAGCTTACAGTAACACTTAATTTCAACATTTACTCTCTCATACAGTCCTTATTAAGTCCTATACAAAGCATGAAGAGAACTAAAATCCCTTGCCCAGTTTCAGTTAAAGGGATACTTCATCCAAAATGATGTTTTGGACCCTATTTACTTTCATTGTATGAACAAAAAAAACACAAAATATCTGTTTTTGTGTTGCACAGAAGAAACTCATAGAGGTTTAGAATGACATGAAGGTGAGTAAATTATTAAATTTTTTTTAATCTCTTTAATGGCAACAAAAATTATTCATTATTGGAGAAAAGGGATGTTAACCCCTTGCTCATAGTGGACTACTGAGATACATATGATTGTTTTTAAGCACGTAAACACTTATGGAGTGAGCACTCCGTTTGTCAAACAAGCAACTTTTTGAAAGTCAGGCGGATTCTCTTCCTAAAACATGCACGTGTACTCACACATGCAACGAACGGCAGCTCCACCTCATGCAGTGAGTCAGTTTGTGCCTCTCATGAGAGTCCCAGTCCAAGCAAGTGACTCACCAGTGGAAAAATCACCACATACAAGATTGGAGGCATTTCCTGTCTCCTTGCAATTGTAGCATCATTTCCTATACTCACACATTAATACACACGTTTGGACACTTACACAAACACATAACACACCTATTTTAGGGTGGCTGTGTCAATGTATCTTTGGCTCTTAACAATCAGTGTCTTGTTTCCCTGTGGTCATGCATTTTAATAACAAACTGTAACTGTTTCTGGCTTTCCAAAACCACTAAGCCACTTTTTGACAGTTCACTCTGCATTGGCCTTTTGATATCAACAATGCATTGCAATCCCAGAAAAAAAAAAGAGCCGTGTACTGTTCACTGTGCTTGAGAGAATGAGACAGCCTCAAAACCACAGACTGTGACAAAATGTCATTCATTCAGATAGAGCCAGCCTGAAACACACACGCAGAGTTTCCCATGGTGTCTTAATGCAGGATCTGTCAAGCCGCAAATCTGATAATACAGCTGGGAAAAGTGGGCACAATACTCTGGACTCTGCTGTGCTGGTTTTTTTTTTTTTGTTGACACTCTATAGCACTAATAGCTGAAGACGAGAGACTGTGGCTCCCTAGTCATGAACAGTTGGACTTGTGACTATTGGCATAAAGCAGAGGTTCTCAACTCTGGCCCTCAAGGTCCACTTTCCTGCAGAGTTTAGATTCAAACTCTCCTGCCTGTGACTTTCTAGTAATACTGAAGACTTTAATCAGCTTGTTTAGATATTTTTGTTTTATTTTTAAGTGCCAATTAGAGTTATATTATCTGAAATAGATGGTACCACAATAAATACAGCAAGAAAACAATTTAATCATATAATGCTGCAGAAGTATTAGCCCATGACTTGCTAGTGGAACTCCGTATACATTTTGTAAATTTGTAGAATTTCTAGTAGTACATACAGATGGGTCATTCTATGAAATGCTTTTTTCCAGTTTGCTAAAAGTGTTTTTAAAAGTATATTTTTGTACAATTGTAAACATTCTAGCATAATAATGTGCTTAAGTGTTAATAAATTGTATTGAGCTATCTCAATGAAATAAATACATCTTAATATAGAATGAGATTCTTCAGAAAGGTAACCGGGTTAACATTTTAGTTTCATTTCACATTTCAAGCCTTGAAAACAAGGTGTTGAGAAAGAGGTTCTTAGAAAAAGAATCGAATCCAGATTATTTCACAGACATGACAGAAAACTAAGTGAAATGCACAGTGAATATCTAGTTTACTTGCTCCTAAGTGCCTCAAAAAATTATTTCCAAAGTACGATGCTACTAACCTGCTAAACTATGACTTCCAGTGCTTTTCAATCAGCGACCAGTATGCATGCATCACATGGCCTGCGAACAGACTGTGGGCGATTTGAGGCTAACAGCTCCCTCAAGATCCTTAAAAATAGACATCCCGGGTTACCTCAAGAGACCTGTTGACCTTTAGTTTATAGATGTCTGCTTGCAACAAATTCAATGATCACCTTTGACCCTGTGTCACATGCAGCTATGTGACCTACTGGTTTGACTAGGGGGTTAAACACAAGAGTACACAAGCTGATGTCTGTCAAAAGCTGCCAGCCTTGATGTTCGTTGTTGCACATCGAAAGTAAATTGGTGCATTGACCAGAAGAAACACTACCAAGTTCAGCATAATATTCAGCATATTAGAACGATTTCTGTGACACTGAAGACTGGAGTAATGGCTGCTGAAAATTCCGCTTTGCATCACAGGAATAAATTACATTTTAAAAGACATTCACATAGAAAACAGCTATTTAAAATTTTAATAATATTTCACAATATTACTGTTTTTACTGTATTTTTGTAAAATAAATGCAGCTCTTGTCAGCAAAAAAGACTTATTTCAAAAACACTACAATCATACAGTCCCCAAACTATACAGATATTGCTAAATAATTTACACCACCGCATTAACACGAGCAGCTACCTATTAGTCAGTTTGGATACTAGTGCTGTGTTCAAAATATCGATACGACGATGTATCGTCACAGAGATTTGACGATACGAGTATCGATACAGCTGACCCTGTATCGATATTGTGGCACGTGTGCAGCCGCGCTTAATTTTACAACGTTTAAAATTGAGTAGAAAAGTGCGAGGTTTCTAAAAAAGAATGAACAGAGCATCTGTTAATAATCTGGCCGCAGAGGAACACAACTGGGTTGCCTGATACAAAGAGACGTAAGAGAGAGAGAGAGAGAGGCTGTGTATGTATGAATTACCACCGTTTCGCCGCGTTTCTCTATTAACAGTAAAGCTGTGGCTTTAATTCCTTTAGAAACAATGATGCTACCAGCTATTTTTGAGAAAGATAATGTAGCTTTTGAGCGATTAAGCTATTTAGTTGATAAAACTGCGGGGCAGCGCTAAAAAGTTTGTTCCTGAATGTCTGAGTTCGGCCGCAGCGTGATCTGTGTGTGTGACTGCTCCAAACTCCTTCTGTGTCACACAAATACTGGCACAGACGTTCATGTTCGGCTAGAGTCGCTTTGAACTCGTGCATCTTCGGAAGCGGAGCTGAGTGGAAAGTTACAAAAAATGTCATGCACACCGCCACGCGAAACGACGTCGTGCGCACTCAAGCCGAACTGCTAAGTCAAAGTTTCTGCTAGTGATTTCTATGGAGAAAAGTCACTTCCCGCCCTCCAGCTGCATTTCACGCTAGGGCTGTGTATCACCAGCAAAGTCACGATACAATACGTATCACGATACAGAGGCCACGATACGATACATATCAAGATACATGACTGCACTGAATTTCACCTCAGCAGAATTTAGAAAAACAGCTGTTTATTAAACACTTATTTTTTAAACATATTAGAATGAGTACATTACAATTAGACTTATCACGGTAATGAATATGCAGGATATTGTTATCGTGGGCACTTTTAAATACCGTGAATAATTATATATAACAAATTATTCCGAATTTTGAATGCATTTTAAGAATACTTTTCCCATCAGCTGGTTACAATGCATAACACCTCTGTATGCTGCGTTAAAGATGCATGCGCACTCTTATGTAAACAAGCCCCACACGGATGAGAAGCGCATGAGGCCCTTCATAATGCAGAGGTCAACTGCCTGCTCTGCCAATAGTTAGAAATGGCACTATAGTAAGCAGTGTTTAATAAACAGCTGTTTTTCTAAATTCTGCTGAGGTGAAATTCAGTGCAGTCATGTATAGTGATACGTATCGTATCGTGGCCTCTGTATCGTGATACGTATCGTATCGTGACTTTGCTGATGATACACAGCCCTATTGGATACTGTATAAAGATTGGAACATTACTTGCTTTTTGACATCCCTAAATCTGCATAAACCAAACTTTGCAGGAGTGAATTCAGATGTTTCTCCTCTGTGAGACCAGGCCTAGGGCCAGAATTTTCCTTTTATAACATAACGTGGAAAAAATTAGCTTTTCTCCTCCCCCATTCTTCACTTTTTCTTTCCCTCCAGAGTTTCCCCAAACAAACCCTCAGCTGTTTCAAACATCTCCCAGAGTTCTAGTACTCCAAAATAACACCCACCACGGAGGAGAGGGGCACCTCGTATAAACCTCTCAGCAGGTTAAAACTTTCATGACATGAGAATGATCATCTCAGATTAGCCGAACAGATCTCATGTTTTATTTGCACCTTAAAAACAACTCACGACTTAATATACTGACATCAGAGGAGCTGTCGCTGTCATTAGAATCTGGCATCTTGATGTGGAATCAGACACGCCTCTTTCTTGAAAAAGCAATCGCTTTCTATTTCGGTGCGCTTTTTATCACCTGTTCGCAGACACGGGTGATATCACATCATGAGCAGCTTGTGTTTATCACCCATAAAATCATCACCCATAAAAATAGCAGGATGTGAACACATGCTAAAGTGCTTTAGATGTTTTTCAAAGCACAGAAAGCACAAAAATAACCACAAGAAGATGTTCCTACCTGCTTTAGTGCACAGCTCTGTAAGTGTCCAAAAAGAAAGAAAGTTTTGAAAAGTCTCTGTTTTCTTGCTCTCGAGCTCCAGCAGCTCAACACTAGCGAGCTGTGGGAGTAGTTTTGCATCAGAAAGCTCGCTCCTCTTTCTCCACCTCCTGTTTTAACTCCA